GTAGCAGCGAACATAAAAACCATTCTTTCGCCTCCATCCCCTTTTACCACTCCCAAATTCCTCAACCTCGCTTGCACGAGACCAAAAGATATTTTATTACTCCAGCAATGCCAACTAAAGTGCAATAAAGTGAATAACTTAAATAATTTACTCGCGCTGTAGTCGGATCGAATTTCAGGGCTTGCCTTAGGCCACTTCTACCATCACTTCGGCTGTCACAGTTCTGAGTGGAAATTCGATCCCTCGTGTGCACAAATGCTGTGGTTTCGCCTTTTATAAAGCATGCCATTCAAAGACAAAGTAGAAAGAAAGAAAAAGGCGACACCACTCTTTCCACCACATCAGAAGACCATGAATAGTGCACAACAAGCTACGATGAAAACGGCAGAAATGTGTGTACCTTGTACAGGTAATGCTGATGGACATTAATGGTAAGGTGTAAGCACTGTCAAATTTGCCTTCACCACGTTTTACCTCTTGCAGAGGTGAAGTAGTTAATAAGGCAGTGTTTTCGCCCTGAACTTTCCAACACCTCGAGATCACAGTTGTGAAGGCTGCACCTTCGCCTACTCGAAAAAGGTCAGAGAGGTGTTGTGTCGGTCAGTGCAAAATCCTGTCCTCATTGTTGAACCCAATAAAATGCTCCTACTGTGGTGTATTTCTGCTGACATTGCTGACTAATGGTCTCAAAAAAAAAAAGTGAAATTAAGCATACCAGTAAAATCATACCCAGGCATTATCTTTTCGTCTTGACACAAAACCAGGAAGGACAAGGGATTAGAAAGTGGTATTGACATAATGTTCAGGGGTTTTAGAAGCACTTCCTGTGCACAATCCTCGGACCCATTTCTTCGTACTCCTCCTTTGTGACAACCATGTCTCTGAAAGCATTTAGAGATCCGAGGATGGATGCCCCTATCCATGCTGCATAGTTGCGCTTCTCTGAACCGTTCACTTTCACTTTGACATTCTTGGCAGCCAGTTGAGTCACCTCATTTTGAAGACGGTCAATGAGTCCGTCAAACATTGTGCTTCCACCAGAGAGGACAATGCTTTTGTACATTGTCCGACGCAAATCAATCTCACAACCTTCAATTACGTGGTGGAGGGCCTCATGAATGCCGTAAATTTCACGACCAATCAACTGTGGACTGAAGAGTATTTCGGGGCTCTGGAATCTCTCAGTTGAAACATGAATTATCTGTCCATCGGGCATTTCATAGTGCTTTTCCATACTTGGATCAACTTGAGCTCGTTTAAATTCTTCCTCCAAATCCAACGCCACATAGCACAAGTGCTCTTTGATGTCACGAACAACTTCCAGCTCAGCCGAAGACACTAGACTGTATCCACGTTTAAGGAGGAGGTTGTTCAAGTAATCAGTTATATCACGACCGGCAAAATTAAGGCGAAGCACTAGATGATTTAATCCATGACCTTCGAATATGGGGACTATGTGGGTGGCACCATCACCAATATCCAAAACAGATCCAGTTGTCTTTCCTGATGAGTACAACGACATAACTGCTTGAATTGCTATGTAAAGTCCTGGAACATTGAACCTTTCAAACATCATTTCACACATCCTCTCTCGATTGCTTTTGGGATTGCGCGGTGCTTCTGTCAGCAAACACGCCTGGTCTTCTGGATGGACTCGAAGTTCGTTGTAAAATGTGTGATACCAAATCTTCTCAATATCGTCCCAATTTTTTATCACCCCATTTTCAACGGGATATTGAAGTGTCAATACACCACGCATCTGTTGGGCCGCGTCGCCAACAAAGTATTCCTGTTTTCGCACTCCAACCATCATTTGAGGATTTTTTGGTCGTCCAATTATGGAAGGGAAGATGCTGATCGGACCGTCTTCACCCGCGAAGCCGGCTTTGCAAAGGCCGGAGCCCACATCGATCACTACTGCAGGATTGCTAGTCATTGTGCTCTGTCACTCAACTGGTAGTCTCCACACCCGACTTAATGCACAGCACTTATAGTGGATTGACTAAGACCAGTGGTGCACTGGCGGTGCCTAATTAGATCAACGCCATTCACTTCACTCCACGTGTATGAATGCGTGCTCAAAAGAGGATCTCTGCATCGATCTGTGGTGACGCCTTGTTACGCGACAAGTAGCACTTTGGCACAACCCTTAGAATGTAGGTGTAGGTGTGTTTGCGTGTGAGGATGGCTCTACGAAAGAAACTGGAGCGATTACCAACAAGCGCACTTCCCATCGGGCTCGCTTTATGGGGAGGTTGAAGTGCTCTAATAACACCATTGCATTCAGTGCAGGTAAAGCCTTTTACCAAATTATGGAAAATAGGGACTGCTAATGTAAACAATAAATGCGCCCACCACAGACAAATTGTCTAGTCGGCAGCCGAGATGTCCGTAACTCCAGGCGCCCAACCCCAACCCCTGTTGAATTGTCTAACAATAATTTAAAAGTCGGCGGAATTAGGGCACATTCTAAGAGCAAAAATAAGTTAATGTAAGATCTTTTCTTACCTACGTACGTTGTCTCGCAGCGGTTCAAGAAACATGCCGTTATTTTTCGTTTTATTGCCGAAATAAATATATGAGCTAACCCACTTTAAAAAAAAACTTTCAGAATGGTAAGTTACAAACTCGCTTGTCCGCAGTTTGTAATGACACCTTCTCCTTCATTGTTTACCGTTCCATCACTTTTGGGGCACTTTAAGATCGGTATCAACAAGGTTTCAACTGCTTCATTTTAAAGACAAAACATGAAAACATGGACAAAGAACTTGTTCATTCGCACTCATTCCCTTCGACAGCTAACTTCGGTTCACTTCGATTGAGTTAAGTGTTACTTGGAGATTAAAACATGCTTTTTTATTAAATGGATTGCGTAACATGTCTGCATATTCAATAACCATAAGATGCTTGTTTAAAATGTGTGGCTTCAATTTGTCGTGTCCTTGTTTTGGTGACCTTAATTTTTGAACTAATTGATTGGCAGTGCTTGGCAATCAGAAGAATGAGCAAATTGGTGTAGGAATACACTGTGCTTACACGTTGAACAACGTATAAAATTGTTTCCCACTTACTTCGCAGATATACATCGCACAGCATCCAATCACAGTGGCAACTCTGAAAACTATGGCCCTGTTTAGCATCACATAGAAGTGTCTAATAACCCTCAATACGACATATTTCAATGAAGTATAATGAGGCTGCGTGTAGAGACCTTATGAGATTGTGTCGCACAGACTGATGTTATTATTTCGCTACGTCATTGTAGCATTTTACTGAGTTGATGCAATTAGCACAGAGAGAATCCATGTTTGAATATCAATTGTGAAGCATAAATAAATGAAATTTATCTAGTCATAAAACGTGCATAAATCGAGGGCTAACCTAATAGCATTTAAACCTAGTTATCCCATCCTGAGTGGGGTCCACTGCACAACGGCATACACCCTCCTGCAAATGCTAGTGTCTAACATGCTTGCGATAAATTTTGAAATAAATTTTAACGTTTGACATATTACTCTTAACCTTATGTTGAGGTAAAGTAATTTGGTGTAAACTTCTTTATTGGTTAAACTTTGTGCACAGCTTGGTTTTATCTATGCCAACTTTTTTGTTATTAGCAGGAAAGTACACCTCATGCAACTTTTGTTTAACACGAATGGGCGGGAGGAAGGTTATAGATTCATTCTACAACATTTTAATACTGAAATTTAGTTTCCTGTCTTGCTCACGAAATTGGTGTTTATGAACCGCTATGAATAGAAAGAGGATTGTCACGTGGCCTATTTCCAGTCCTGAAGAAGAAAAGTGTGGAACGAAAGTAGTGAGAAGCGCATTTAGCTGCGCCTTCTCCTTTAATCAGGCAGAGTTTTGTGTGAGCTGTGAACACTGCCACGGCAATGCAAGAGCTTCACTTAGTAGGGAGGAGTTGAGCTGCCTAGCAGGCGTCATCTGCATGAAAAACCTTATAAGGCAAGAATGTTAAAATTGGATAGCATTCAACAGCACGCACAATTTGTGCGCTGATCGACTTTCATTGAAGAATGCATAAATGTCTGAGTTAATTGCAAAGGCAAAAGTAGGCAATCGGTAGACATTTATGGTGGCTCAAATGTCAGCCGCATTACATAATTCCAGTTTAGATCGGCTGCCAATGCTCGACATGACTTCAGCTACTGTTGTGCCGTATCGAGGTCCTGCAACCAACGTCATTACTGCCGTTTTTTGTTAATGGCTTGCCAAATGTTGATGGTGCTATGGACTTTGGTGTACTTTCAAAGAATGCAGAGCATTACGTTGGTGAGGAATAAGGTTTATCTCCATAGCATAGATGTCGGCAGGCCCTAAAAACGTAAAAGACGCTCATGACTCCTCTTGGACAGAAAGGCCCAGTAATTGGGAGCACCAGTCCTGATTGAAGATACGCCTGTTTGCCCCATTTTTACTATCATTAAGACGATTTCTTAGAAGTACTTAATTAGGCATCTACAGTAGGATTAAAGTTGACCAGTTTCTTAGCCTAATTGTTAATGAATAATTGAAACACACAGTGGCATGGTTTTACTGTCGTTAATTTTTTTTTTGATTAACTATCAAATGAAGTACTGCCTTTGTTGAACTTGCGTGGAATTGCAAACAAAACGTCAAATTACCGCAATGAAGGTTTAATTAGAAACTACTTCATTGTCAGATCTAGTAAGTTAAGCGTGAGTTTCTCATTTGGAAAGTTAAAAAAAAGTAATAATAAAAGGACGTAGATCAGGAGATGGAGACAAAGAAATTTACAATCACACTTTGGTGAATTTGCATTTTTCCACTGTTCGCATTGCCTCTCCCACCAGTAGTGGATTGTTGACTGAGTTGTCAGCAAACCGTAATTGAATGGTAATTTTTTTACTCAAATCAAAAGGCAACAAGAAATGAGGCATACTGGGACAAAATGTGCTCAGCCATGCGAGCCCTCCAGTGAAGTGACAATCATTCATGCCTGTGGTTTGTCACTCCTTCTGCCACCTCAACACCCACCCCTCCTTTAGCCACCTTTGTAACAGCTTAAGGCCTAAAACTGCTTTTCTTGACTAAAATGCATCGCCAATGGCATGGAAGAGGTGAAAATTTGACAATATAACTCAAGCAATTTGGAATTCTACCTTGTCCTAAGGCAGTGGTTAGGCTTTAGTCCTTCATGCCTTATCAACCCCTCCTCAGTTTAGCTCATTTTTCCAAAAGGTCAGTCAAAATTATTAAAGCCTTCAGCAGTCCTGTCATGCTGCCAATCGGTTGGATGTCCTCCGACCAATGAGAATGGAGGGCCTTGTCCGATCGAAGTGGACGAAAAGGGAGGGGGGAGGGGCGCTAAATCGTAAAATACTTTTTTTTAAAGTAAACTATATGTTGCCTAGTCAAGTGAATCCTACCCCTTCTTATTCGCCTTGCCTCAACAACCGGATGTTATAAATCCCTTGCAGTTAAGACCCACTTCCTCATGTCATAGTGCAACGCGGAGCGAGTGATGTGGGTTGACTAGTTGTGGAATGTAAATATCTTGCGCAGTTAATTAAAGTGTAAAGGAGTGAAAAAAGTTTAAATTTTTATTTTTATTTCACCACTTTAAGGATATAATTTGTGGAAAAAAGTGAAATTTTAGTAGTTTTTTTTTGCGGAGGGTACTTGTAGTCGATGCTAGCCTTAAAGACCAACAAATCTGCATGCCGGAGAGCGAGGACACGTGAACAGTAGGCAAAATTACTACAAAAGAAAGGGATTTGAAGAGCTAATTTTGTCAGATGGAAGTTAAAAGTTTTCACTCCCTATTGAACTCAGCACAGGAGGAGAGGAGGCGATTGGCCCCTCCCTCCTCCCCTCCCATCCGAAAAGAGACAGTATTATTTTTC